ACCCAAAAAGCCTAAAATATTTACACAATAAGGGAAACACTGAAGAGATAACCTACAGAATGGGGGAAAATATTGACAAATTATTAATCTCACAAGAGGTTAATATCCAGAATAGAAAAGGAAATCAAAAACCTCAAGAAAAAAATCAACCTGACTAACAAATGAACAGTAGGCCTAATACATTTCTTAAAAGAAAACATGGAAGTGACCAGCAGGTATATGCAAAAAAAGCTTACTGTTACTAATCTTCTGGAATATGCAAATCAAAAACACAATAAGATGTCACCTTGCTGCAGTTTAGAGTGGCTACTATCAAGACAAAAGTGCTGGCACGAATGTATAGAAAGGCAACTCCTGTACACAATGGAAAACAGTATGGAGGTACCATAACAAAATTAAAACTATAATCACCACAGATCCAGCAGTCCTGCTACTGGATCAGTGGAAAATGAAATCAGTGTATCAAACAGACATCTGACTCCTATATTCACTATTCACAATAGCCAAGAAATGGAAAGCAACCTAAGTGGCTGGCAATTGATAAGTGGGTAAAGAAAACATGGTACAGATATACAATGAAATGTTACATACTCATAAAAAAATGAATGAAATCCTTTCATTTGCAATAATATGGGTGGAACTAGAGATCATTATGCTAAGTGAAATTTGTCAGGCACAGAAAGACGTGTATCACATGATCTCATTCATATATATATATATATACATATATATATATATTATCTAAAAAAGTTGAGTCATAAAGCTGAGAGTAGAAGGGTGGTTACCAAAGGCCAGGGAGAGTGTGGGGTAGGGATGGATTGGGAGTGGTTGATCACTGGGAACTAGTTATAGTTAGCAGTAAGACATTCTAGTGTGCTCATTGTGGCAACTGTAAATAATAATGTACTGCATGTTTTTAAAAGCTAAAAGTTTAAACCATGCTGAATGTTTTCACTATGAAGAAATGAGCAGTGTGTGCATGCCTATAATCCCAGTTGCTTGGAAGACAGAAGCAGGAGGATTGGGAGTTTGAGCCCAGCATGGGCAAAGTTAGCAAGTCCCAATCTCAAAAACAAATTTGAAAAGGGGAGTCAGGTGTGTGTGTTGGGGGGCATAGTTCAAGAGGACCTAAGTTCAATCCTTACTACTGAGTGAGGTAAAAATGTTGGAAGAGATGTTTAACTTGATTTAAACATTATACAATGTATACTCATATTCAGTCATCACATAGTACCCTATAAATATATATTTTTAATGTTTTCATCTATCAACTAAAATTTAAAAAATAAAAGCAAAAAATTTGAAATTATATAGTATGTAACTTTTTGAGATTGATTTTCTTCATAATACCCTTGAGAGCCATCCAAATTTTGCATGCATCAATACTTCATTTCTTTTTGTTATTAAGTAGTATTCTAAAGTAGGGAGAAATCTTTGAACGAACCATTTGGGTTGTTTCTACTTTTTGGTCTGTCACTAGTATTTTAGCTGCAGGGGTTTTTTGTGAACCCTGATTTGAGGAGGCTCACCTTCATTTCTAGACTAGTGATAAATTTTATCATGAATGGACATTGAATATTGGCAAATGCTTTTTCTGCATCACATAATATGATCATGTGGTCCTTATTCAGTCTTCCTTCTTTACAAAGTGTTTTGAAAGTTGCTTTCTTGTATGAAGTCTTTCAGTGAAATTAGGAGGAATTAGGTACAGTAGACTGTCTCATCTGAAATTACATGCCTGGCTTTCATTTTGAAGGATTCATTGGGTATGGAATTTTTTTTTTACTTCACAACTCTGAAGAACATTGTTTTCCTAGCTTATTGGTTCTGTGTGTTTCTTCTGATAAGTAGAGGGTAGTTGTCCTATCAGTGACCCTACAGATAGCTCCTATAGTTTAGATCTTGAATGTCCAGGCCTATGTTGAAGGCAGCCCATGGTGCTACTGGGAGGTGGTGGAACCTTTAAAGAGGTAGGGCCTAGAGGTAGGAAGTCAAGTCATTGGAAAAATGTCCTTTTAGGGAATACTGAGACCTTAGTACTTTCCTGTCTCTTTCATTTCCTGCCAACCATGAGGTAAAGTTTCCTTTAGAATGCACTCCTGCCATTATGTATTTACCTTACAACAGGTCCAAAGGCAACAGGGCCAAGTGACCATGAACTGAAACCTCTGTAACTGTGAGCCAAAATAAATCTTCCCTCAAGATTAAGATGATACAGATATTTTGCCAGTGACAGAAAGTTGACTTAACACGGTATCTCTGCCTTGCTGCTTTGAAGATTTACTTAATATCTTTGGTTTCCTATGGTGCTTCAGGATTATCGTATTTATTTATGGATTGATATTTGTCATCCAACTAGAAAAGTTTTCAACTTTGACTTCATAACTTTAAGCTTTAATCCCCACTACTTTTTCTGAACTCCAAATACATGTATTTAAAATACTTTATCACAGGCAGCTGAGACATTCTTTTAAAATCAGAGTTTTGTCTGTTTGAATACTTTCTTTTGCTTGACCTCTGTGATTGTCAAATCAACAGTGTCAAATCAGCAATGAAACCTGACCAGTGAATTTTTAATTTTCTGTTACATTTTTCAGTTCCAGAAGTAAATTATATTTTCATATTTCTGCCAGATTCCTGTTCCCTAATTGTGTTTAACTTTTCCTTTAAGTCTTTGAACATACTTATGTAGATGTTTTATAGTTCTTGTTTGATAATCTTACTAATCTAGGACATACCTGAATTCTGTTCTTTCACCTAGTTATGCTTTACATTTTCATGATTTCTATGTATGCTGAATGCTGTGAATGCTACGGTGTTTAGACTCTTGTTTTACTAGATTCCTTAGAGTGTTGATTTTGTTAAATTTTTTTGGTCTGGTCTAATCTTAAATCGTGGACTTTCTGAAGTCTAGGTTATTTTCCTCTTCATGTCTCATAGTCCTGTTAGCTATGTCTAATACTGTTTTGTATTTAATTCGTGGTCTTTACAGCAAGTGGGGAAGTCTGATACTCATTACTCATGTCCAAAGGGGAAGTGGTGTGATATTTTCCATAGCTCCCCAGTTGAATTCTAATGTGTGTTCAAGGTCAGTAACTGCTCTAGTGAAGGGTTTCCCAGAGCAGCGCTACTGGTATTTAGAACTGGGTTGTTTTGGGGTGGCTGTCCTGTATGTTACAGGATGTTCTGCAGCATTCCTGGTATTATCCATTAGATGCTAATAGTGCCTCCTCCAAACTGTAATGTTTCCACAAAGTGTTAAATTTCTTATGTGGGGAAAAAAATCATCCTGGGATTGAGAGTCAGTACTATAGCAGAATAGATTATTGCATTTTCTTAAGCCCTTGCTACCAAGCCAGCAGTATTGTTATTACCTAGAGCTCCTTAGAAACATGGAATCTCAACACCACCCAATGTTCTGACTGAGATCTGCATTTTAACAAGATCCCAAGTCATCTATATACTTTCTTATATATGAAAAACAATGCCATAGACCAGGCAGTAACCAGCTAACTTTTTTCTTTTTATCCCAGTGCTGAAGGTCATTATGCAGGGCCTTAAATACACTTGCCAAACACTCTACCAACTGGGCGACATCCCTAGCCCAGCAAAATTTTTTCAAGAGGACAGATAGAAAATGTTTTAGGCTTTCAGTCCACTTAAGCGTCTTTTTGTTTTCTGGTTTTTTTTTTTTTTTCAGAATTATTCAACTCTGTTTCAGTGCAAAGACCAACTCCTACTATAAAATGACTTTTTTTCTGAATCAGACCTCACAGGATATCCTGTACCTTCCTATCTGATGTCATTAGTTGCTTCTAGAAGAGACAAGGTATATAGATTATGCAGTAGATGGTTCTTAAAATTTTAGCATGATTTCTATTCTTAACTAGGTGGAGATACCTCACATCTCCACATGTAAATTACATGTAAATGCTGCTTAAATTAACATAAACCCTTAGAAAGTGGTTCTCAACCTTCAGAAATAAATGATTTGATGGCACAGTTTGTTTTGTTGTGTGAGAATGATTTATGGTCATACTGGAGTAACTATTCATTTCTTTTGCCTCTAGTGGATAAAGCTGACAGAACTTTAGGAAAACTACAATAGTATGATATTATTAGCTCTCAAATGGTAGTTATCTAAGTCTCAAGTAATTTATTTACTAGGAAAGCTAAAGATCATTCAAAACATCTCTGCTTTATGTATCTGCATCTTATACAGGAATCCTTTCTTACCTTCTAAAACTACCCATCCTCAAAATGACCCTTTTTTTTTGGTGTGGTGGGGGACAAGCTGTTTGAAGGATGGCAATTGAAAGGTTGATAAATAATGGTATCACAGCAGACATTTCTGGAAGAAGACTTAAGTATTTTGGCTTTGTTTAATAAAGTTCTCTTCCAATTTACAAGGAGAAAGCCATGCAAGAGGTCACCCAAGTGAAGCAGAAACAGATCAGAAATTCCTGACCTGCAGCTAGTTAAGCAGTGAGCAGGACACTGACTCCTGGGGCTTTGGCCAATAGGAATGATGGTGAACACATTGAAGCAACTCTTAAAAGCTTGTATAAGTAATCAGTGACTTTGTTTTACATTACTGTCTATTCAGTTTATAGTGTTCGGTCTTTACCTATCAGTTTTCAAAAGAGACTGTTTTACTGGATGACAGTCGTCTCTATTTACTCAACATAAAGCAGAAATCATTTCAAGTTGCTATAATGTGACAAAGTTTAAGAAGAGTTATTTTAATGACCAAAATCTTTCTAATCATGACTACTTCATAAGATTAAGCCTAGTTTTGTTGTCTTGCCAAGAATTCAGTTTTCATCTTCTATCCAGCTTTTAGATTATAAATTGTTTGAAAGGACCTATTTACATGGTTTAAAAGAACCACCCAAATGACCAGATTTGGTTGCTAACAAGTTTTATTTAGCATTTTTACAGTGTACACACAATACATAATTGGATAACTTAAATCAAACTATGTATGCATTTTTTCATAGGAAGGCACCAGGAGAAGACAAAAATATCCCGAATCTTCAGCACTTCTGAATGAAGTAAATGGTCTCCAACAAAAATCAAGCTATGTACAATTCCCAAATTCATATTGTGAACCCTATCAAGATTTTACCAGTCAACATACAATCAGTAATTCAAGATCTCCACCTTGGTATGAAAATACTTCCACAACTGGTACGGGGGTCATACACTTAGAAAGTTCTGTAAGAGTCTGGCCTGTAATTTCCCAGTTTACTCTTAGTGAAGAGACAAAAGAAGATGTATATTATTATGGCTTCGCCATAGTTTTCCTTTTGACATTGATATGTCTTGTTTTGTATTTTCTCTGACAGTATCAAATAAAATCCATTTGACAATTTTTGTTCCCAGTTCTTCACAGAAGTGCTACATTCCCAGTTCAGGGTTTCCTCCCAGACATTTTCAAGGTAATTGGCTTGCAAAAAGAAAAAAAGCAAAATTATTTTAACAAAACTGTGAATACTCTTAAAAAATAAAATTGCTTTATACTAGAAATGGTGTCACTACATAGTTTGTAACAATATAATTCTCTGATACTTCAGATCACATAGGAAATCTAGAAAAGGACTTAAACATTCTTATCAAAGAGAAAATGTAAAAATTAAGGATAATTTATCTTACAGAACCTTTTTTTTTTTCCAGTACTGGGGTTTGAATTAGGACATTACACTTGCTAAGCAGGCACTCTATACCTGAGCTATACCCCAGTACGTATTGCTTTGGTTATTTTTGAGACAGGCTCTCACATTTATGTCCAAGCCCAGACTGGACCACAATTTATTTTTCCTGAGTAGCTGGGACATGTGCATCACTACACTAAGCTTTTATTAGTTGAGATGAAGTCTCAAGAACCTTTTGTCCAGGCTACCCTTGAACTGCAATCCTCCCGATCGCCACCTCCCAAGTAGGTAGGATTATAGGAGTGAGCCACCATTCCCTGTCCAGAAACTATTTAAATACACAGAACAATGTGTTTCAGAAAGTTAGCTAATATACTATATGTGTATTTTCTATAACACATTACTAAAAGCTAGGCACATTTTATAAAATGTGACTAATGATTTGCTTACCTTACTACAATATGGACATTCTCCAAATATGATGTTAAAACTCTGTCTAGTAGTGAGCAGTCCTCTCAACCACTAAAGATTTTAAAAGGAAAGTAAAGGAAATGTCAGCAGGACTACAGATACTCCAAAGATCATTTCCTTTCTTTTTTAATGCATTGTATTTTTATTCCACAAGATTTACCTTAATTTTGTTTCACAAGAGTAAAGATACATTTGCTAAGTCAGTAATAGATTATTATTAGACTGAATACAAGGAGAAATCAGCATTAGAATTTGAAATCTAAACCACCAGTTTGTAAGCAAATTATACACCCCTTTTAAGAATCTATTAACAATTACACATTTTACTGCCAACAGACGTACATACAGATGCGTGGAAATTCCTGGGGTTCATGTACCTAAATCCATTAATCACATACTAAGAATTCCTGTCGTAGGAGACATCATAGGTGTTTGAAATTTTAGGTCTTAATTCTGTCTTAATCCAACAGTGGGTTAATTCTCACTCCACTAATTATAAGCATGAGGCAGTCAATTTGTAAAACTTAAAATATTCATTATTACGAAAAAGTAAATCTGGTGTTTTATGATTTTTATGATGGTTTATGATGTTTGATCCGAAGTTTTCCATTTGCAAAGTGCAGACAGCACCAACTGCTACCTATAACCACAAAAGTAAGGAGAGGATATTAAAGACTAAAAACACTATTCAGAGAGCAAACAACTAAAGACAGGAATGAAAGTGGACATCACATATAGTAAGCAAGCTGTAAATAAAACTTCATGGCTTCAGATGTTCAGATCACAAAAAGCATCCTTAATATCTAAAGCAGGATTACTGCATTTATTCTCTACTTAAATATAGTCTAAAAAGTAATAGGTCTTACTCAAACTGCCTATGCCATTCCCTTTCACTTTCTTGCTGCTATCACCCCCAGCTGGATGAATCTACAGGTTTTGCATTCTGGTAACAGGAGGTATTTAGGGAAAGATTCCAAAATACCATCAGTACAATTTATGCTCATGCATATATTCTAGATGGATTCTCCCCCCATTTGGATGTTTGAACATTTATGAAGCACATGAGATCTGGAATAAACTAGCAAAAGAAATTAATAGCAAAAGAAAGGAACACTTGAGTAAACAGATTTTAGGCTCTGTGCATTTCAAATGTGCACACTACCTATTCTGTGTTGGGTAAAAGTCTTGCTGATGTTATTTTTAATTTAGTTTAGTGTTACCTCATATAAGCATATTTGATGGAAAGGCTGTCCACACTGGGAATTATTGCACACTTGGTCAGGAATGGCACCATCAAATTGATAGGCATAACAAATTCCACAATCCATAGTAAAATCCTTAAAAAGAAAAATGCTTATGAACATACTTGTTTAAAATACACATGGTAAGACTAGGAAGAATGGATGATAGGATATAGAAATATGAAGTCTTTATAAATACAGTTTTACATGAAAGTACTATATTGCTATAATATAGGAAATATAATCACATTACTACTTAACACCCAGAAAAACTGTTTTGTGAATGTGTTTCCTTTTTCACTTAAATATATGCAGATACACTAGATTTCTTTTTAGCTGCAAGATTTTGGGACTTTAGCAATTTTCCCAAATACATAATTATAATGTCTGCAACATATAATAGAAATTAACATTAGCTACTGATTACTAAACTTCACAATTCTATAACTAAAGGAAAAAAAAATATTGTCACCATTTGGTATTCTACAACCTTAGCAGTTTTGTCAAAAATCAATTCTACATTTTTATCTTTACAACAGTAGTAGTTCCTTTTGTTTTTAAAAAGCTGCATTGCCATACTTCACACTTATACCAAGCTAATTAGATCATTATTTCAGTCATCCATAAGCAGACAGTATAGAAAATCCAAACATCTCATTAGCTACTTTAGACTTTTCTCCTTATTTTTAATAATAAATGTCTGTCGTCAATCACTTTAGTGCTGAAGACCATGAAAAAAACTACACTTAAAACCACCTATCAAATGTTAACAAGTTCTTTGATTCAATTGTTACTTGTAGTTCAGAGGTCTGTTATAACATCTTCCAATTCCCTCCCTTTTCAGCTGTTTTGTTTTTTTGAAAAAAAGCATTTAAATTTTATTATGCAACACTATGTAGAATATATCAAAGCACTGATAAAACTTACAGATTTTTCCAGGATAGTACGAGATGGAAAATCAATTTCTAAAACATCCTTCAAATTTTGTAACAGACTATTTTCTGGATCCCTGAAAGCATGAAAAATATATTTCCGCTATAAAGTTTATAAAATCATAGAAAGGTAACAATTTCATTGGTAAGGTACCTACCACAAATGTATGTTCCTGCTCAGTTTAATTCCTAGAGGCTTTACCACTTTAGGGGAGAAAAAAAAGTTCAATAAATTAGGGGATTTGTCACTACTATTTTGTAAAATCACGTTGGTACACATTTGTTTCTTAACCGGTTGATTCTAAAACCTAAGTCATATATTTTATGTTAAAAAAGTATACAGAATGAGAAATTTATTTAAAATAATCACTATTACAATATTTAACAATGGTAGACAGGGGATTTATGGTTGTGTTAAAAATATTTGATTCTGGGATATCGTACCATGGTCAGCTCCAAGAAAACAGCACTGAGGAAGCATGGTAGGATGCCTAGGGTCTACCTCTATATTTATGGAAGCATTATTCCCTAGAAAGAAAGAAGATAAAAGTTTCTGAAGTGGGAACCATTCACCAAACAAAGGCATGTCGATTTGGTTGACAATTTTACAGTATACACAAGGAAAGATTAACTAAAATTTTTTTTAGTTTTTTATGAAGATATATACATCGTAATTTAACCAAAAGAAATAATTGTGAAACTATTATTACCACTAAAGATTCAGGGATCTTAAGTTTCAAAAATCAGAGCCAATTCATAAATTAGTATGGTTAATTTAGGTTGGGATTCTGGTCAATTCTATGACAGTAAAGTTTGAATAAAAATTTTTCTATGGAGTAATAAAGGCATTTAATATCAAAGATATGACAAGCTTAAGAAAAAGATCTAAATTGCTTTTCATGACTTTACAAAGTTTACATTTCATAAACTATGGCCAAATGTAAAAAGATTGGTATTACAGTAAGCAGCAAATGTGTTCAAGTTCTACAAAAATTTATAAAAATATTTTTTGAATTGTGCTCCAGGAGAAACTTTCCCTTGTAAGTTAAAAAACTAATCAATTCACCTTAAAAAGAGAAACTTTAATAAAAAACAAAAAAACTACTACTTGGCACCAGATCCTTTAATAAGATTTAATTGTATTGCAGTACAAATTTCAAAAATTATAATTTGAAGATATAGTGTGATAATTTATGATCAATTTGAACTTCATTTTTATGTCAAAAAATGTCTTGACAAATTCTATACACAGCTAAATAAGCTTTATTATAGTTGGCAGTAATATAAATACAATTAATACAAATCTAGCAAAAAAATGGCTGTTGAAGTAAAATTTAAGAGTTACAGCTGCTCAATGAGAAAAATAAAAATTCAAAGTTATGTTATAGGTACATTTGTCAACACATTCTTTACTATGAACACAAATTTATTACTAGCCTTAGCAATGTCATCTACTAATGGCTTCAGATAGCACTTTCACTTAATATTAACTAATCTTTCAATTGATTTGTTCAAAACTTGGCCCTGAGCAAACAAATGCCTGAAGGGAGAAAAACAGCTAAAGGTAAATATAAATTGAATACCAAATAGGCTGCTTGTGCTAAGCAATAAGACATACAACAAAAAGTATACTTTCAGAATAATTATTTTAATGGGGCCATAAAGATAATAAATTACATTTATTATATTTTCATTCTTAATATCTACTTGATCCCATGTATACCGTAATTTCATTAATTATCCCAAATTAAGTACTATTAGATTTTTTTCAAACTGGGAAAATAACAATATTACTAGTAGAATTGCTGCACAATTATTATAGTATTTTCTTCTCATAATAACATATAACTCCCCATCACACCCCACCAATCTCAGGTAAACTATTATGCCTGGGTGGAAAGTATAAATAAAAACTGTTCACTAATTTGAATATGATTCACATCAGAATTTCAAAATAACCACCAGAATATATGGTTTTCAAAATAATATCTATTTAGCAAAAAAAGAAAGAAAACTAGAGAAAAAAAATAAATGGATTGCTTAAAACGAGCTATTTCATTTAATGTAGACACAAATATAGTTTAAAATATCTAAAATCTTGAAAAAGGATTAACTCTGTTCTATGTTTTCATAATGGAAATAAATAATCATTAATAGACAAATATACCATTGCAGGAATGTTTATGGCCAAATTGCATCTTACTCATTAACTTCAGATTTTTATCAAAAAGAAAATACTTAAAATATATTCGATTCTTATTCTTTGCTGTTTATCCTTCAGTGGCACAGTACACCTTTGGATTCTTTTATACTTTATATTTTTGACAGAAGTATTCCCAGATCTGTTCACACTAATCTTGTCTAAGTTTCACAGATGCAGACTTCATTATTTCTAACACAGATTTTTTTGTTCTAAGTAATGTACATTTTGAATAACCTGCTCCACTATTTTTGTGCTAATTAAAAGCTAATTAAACTCTATCTCTGAATGATACTTCCACTGGATCATCACCTTTTATAATGAAACACCTCAGTACTTGCCCTTTTCACCTAAAATATTTGTATTTAAATATGTAGTAAAAGAAATTATACTTTATTCCAAAAACTTTTAATAGCTGACTTCATGCAAAGATGTTTCATCTAAGATTTTAACTATCATCTTTAGATTCATTTTCATAAATAATAAAATATAAAATCGAACACCTGAAAATAAAAGCCCTAACCCTCTTTCCCCTACCTAATGCAATTCTGCGTGCAGTTGCACTCCGCATAGGTTTTTCTGGCTCCAGTACCCAGGTCTTCTCATCGATTTCATCCATGACATCCCAGAATGTCTTCAGTGATTCTAATCCTGCCAAGAACTGACTATGAATACTTATTAAGGAGCTCTGTGAAAAGATGAAAGCTGAGTAAGTTATATGGAACTCTACCAACACTAGATACTCTTTGACTCAAAATACACTCAATTTATGGACACTTTAAGCTCTTCTTCATTTCAGCTGGAATTTGGACTCACTAGACAAGTCCACTCTCCCTGCTTCCAATTTCCTCACCTGCATTAGCATCATCATTAGCATAAGTCTTGTCCTCACTAGACTGGAGACCTTTATCAGGAATAATTTCTTAAAACCACACTTTTACTCAGATGTATGTGACACTATAGGTATGGAATAGTTAATTACTAATATAACATGATACATAAACAACTTTACTAATGTGTATCATATATGTAATGCGTTGAGCACAGTGCCTATATAATTTTAATAAAAATGTAAGCTTAAATTTGGCTACTAAATGAAGCTCTATTTGTAATTTGACTAAACTACCTTTAAACAATCTTAGCAAATAGTTTTGCAGACCAAGTAAGTCAAAAGTATGAAAAGGTTTTTCTTCTTTCTTTTGTTTTCTTTTTCTATGCTATGGATAGAACCCAAGACCTCACATACGGTAAGCAAGTGGTCTACCCTGAACTATAGCCCCAGCCCAATGTTACATACTTTTAAAGAATCAAACAAATTGTGATTTTTCCACACAATTTTTATTAAAATCACTGAGTTCAGTATTTCAGATTCAACTCTTCTAAACTATGCCCAGAAAAAAAAAGTATGAGTAAGAACTAGAGCTTAATGTCTGAAAATAACCTTTAAGGACACTGAAGGTAGACTATCTGTACTTTTTTCTAGTATACCCTACTTATCTACAAATTTACAGAATCTAGAAATTAGAAATAACTAAGTTTTAAGGGGGTAATGGGGGTGGTACTGGGGTTTGAACTCAGAGCCTCCTGCTTACTCTACCATTTGAGCCCCACCCCCAGCCCTTTTTACTTTTTTATTTTTCAAATAAGAGATCACATTTTTTTGCCCTGACTAGCTTGGAACCAAGATGCTCCAGATTTCTGTCTCCCTAGTACCTAGGATTATATGCATGAGCCACTGTGCCAGCTCATATTTTTTAAATCAGTATAATATGTATTATCCTTTCTTGTTCTAGCTATATCTATGTATGTGTACTTTAAAAGTCTACAATTACTTATTTTATGTCTATATTTTAATTCCCTTTAAAATAAATGAGAAAATGTTTTCATAGCCACATCTTTTATTTGAAAGTACTTCCAACTACACTGTCCATTTCTTTTATATACAACAGTAAACAAAATTCTAACTCCACATTTCGAACAGAAAATAAGATGTTGTATAATAAAGAAGTAAGAAAATCAGAGCAAAAACCAAGCATTAAACTAGAAGTTAATTATAGAAAAAGTGAATTTTAAACCCTAAAAGTCATTATCAGATTTCACTGGAAACCTACTTAAAACAGATTCTTCCTTCAGTAGTTTTACATTTCCAGAGGAGATGGCCAAAGAAACACTTTGCTTGGCAATTTCAATGAATGTGGGAAGTGGACATTAAAACTATTTTACCAATAAGCTATGTAAAAAACTAACAGATTTTTCTCAACTGCTTATTTTGTCCATTAAATCACTCACAAACCCTCACTTGGATTTATTTCCCTAATAAAAAAAGAAAATTACTTCTAAATGTTAACAATGTAGTATTTGTATATATGCGCCAAGGAATAATATGACGAAAGTTACATTCAAAATCTGTATTTACCAGGGAGATGAGTTCCCTAAAAAAAAAAACTTTTCCAAAGTAAAAATAGCCAACTCTTCATTTTGTAATAAATATGAGCAGCTTCACATCTCACCAAAGCTATTATTCTAGTTTAAGGTGATCATTTCCAACTCTCAATATGCAAAACAAAATAAGAAATGAAACAAAAACTTTCAGAAAAAAGTGAGTACAATAATAATAAGAGGTAACATTAATATAAAAACAAGAAAAGTTGATGAAAACGTAAAGCAACCAATATACTATTGGTGGGCATGTAAAATGACACCAACAACTGCTTTTGAAGAGTCAGCACTTTCATTTCTTTAGAAACTAAATATATCCCTCTCTTACACCTAGCAGTTCCACTCCAAGAGAACCAAAAAGGCATGCTCATAATTAAATACTTCCACAAGAATGCCCATTGTAGCTGTGTTTATAAGAGCTAAAAACTGGTAAAAAGTCCAGCTGCCCACCAAGAAAAGAAAGATAAGATGAATGAATTCCAGTACAGAACAGATTCCTAATATATGAAGTTATATACAAAAGAGGTCATTTTGTAAGCTCCTGTTCATATGAAATCTAGAACAGGTGTTATCTAAGCTATGGTGACAAATATCAAGATAGGTCTGGAGGTGTGGCTCAGATGGTAGATTGCCTGCCTCCCAAGTGCAAAATCTAAAGTTCAAACCTTAGTACCATCAAAAATAACTCCAGACAATGGGGATTCACAGGACCCTGGGATGATAATAATATTACATCCACTTACTGGAATTTATAGTACACTTAAAATCTATGCCTTTTCTAAATTAGCCAGGCTCAGAAGGCCAAAAATCACATGTTCTCCTTCATATGTGGATTACAGACCTAAAACAAATGCAGTAATATTACTGGACATGGGTCACACACTAAGGGAAGAACATACATGGGAGGGATAGGGAAAGGGAAGGAAACCTAAAACTTGAATGGGGCTGATGCGCTCACTGTAGAGGAGTGAATATAGTAATCTTAAACTGGCAGAGGCTATTATGGGAAGGGGACTAGGAAGTAGTGAAGAGGTCTGGTAGAGATGACCAATGTGGCTTGCAATAAACATGTGCATGGAAGTAATGCTAGGAATCTCTCTGTACAGCTATCTTTATCTCAAACTAACAAAAATGGTTTGTCCTTATTACCTCTTCAACAAAATTGGAGAACAAGAGTGCAAAACAGGTCCTGGCCAGAAGTGCGTGGGATTGGGGGGTAGTGACACAAACAACGTATACTCATGTGAGTAAATATAAAAACAATTTTAAAAAATCTTTTTTATTGTTTCCAAACTTTATAAAGAACTAAAAGGTTTGCGTGCTGATGTGTTTTACAGAAAGTGCTCAAATATCCGCAAATTACCCTGGGATGCACTAAACCTCAGGTGCGCTTATGCAGAGAGAGGAATGAGTAAGTGGAAAAATACATGATACAGCAGCAGAGTAGTAAGTGTGAAATCTAGATGATGGGCTGTGAGCACTAACCCAAAACTTTCTAAGTATTTCTGTATGTTTGAAATTTATGAAAAATATTGAAGGGAAAATTAATCTCAAATAATTAAATAACATATGTGAGTTATTTATTATAACAAAATTCTATCGGAATTATTTTTCTGAATCCAAGTAAAGCTTTTACCTCAAAAAATTACTTTTGTGGATTATGTTATGAACTAATGTGTTTCTTCTTTGCAAATATTTTAAAAGTAGTCTTTTGGAAGAAATCTTTATATATTTAAATATATAATAATAAAAATAAAAACCTGTCTTCCTAGGAAAAAAGCTCATTGTCTAATCAAATTATAGTCTTTGAGATTTTTTTTTTATTAAGTGCATTTTTATAATTTTTATTGTGCTGGGTGGGGGTACATCGTGGGATTTACAAAAGTTCTTACAATGTATAAAATATATCCTACTTGAATTCAACTCCTTCACCATTCTCCTTTATCCTCCCCTTCCCCCATTCCTGGAATAGCTTCAAGAGGTCTCATTTTTCCATTTACATACATGTGAACACAGTATTTGCACCGTATTCACCCTCCCACACCTTTTGTTCACCACCCCCCTCCTGCCCACTGATACCAACCCCACCCCCACCCCGACAGGACCTAGCCCACCCTCCTGTTCTTCAATTTTGTAAAAGAAAAAAATTGACATTTTTGTTTAGGATAGCTGCACAGGGAGTTTCCTGTGCATACATTTTCATGTATGTATGTATTATAACCCAAATTGGTTCATCTCCTCTATTTTTCTTCTTTCTTAGTCCCTTTCTTACAGTGGTTTCAGCATGGTTTAAAAAAAATTCGTTATTCAATTTTGTGATAGATGGTACATTAAACACATTTACCTTTAACTTCCTTCTTTTTGCCCTCCCTGTCTCATGTTGAGCTCGCCCTCCATTTTGTGACCTGTTTTTTTTTATAGTATTGCTGTATTTGATTAGGTGCTTATACTCCAAATAATGAGAAAAAACATGTGGCCTTTGGCTTTCTGAAACCTGGCTAACTGCACTAAGAATTGAGTTCTTCCATTCCTATCCCATTTAACTGCAAATGACAAAATTTTCATTCTTTATGTGGCTGAATAGAATTTCCATTGTATATAAATACATTTCCTTAATCCACTCATTAGTAGTAGGGCATTTTGGCTGTTTTCATAGCTTAGCTATTGTGAATAGTGCTGCAATAACATGGGTGTGCAGGTGCTTGTTGTACCTGACTCACATTTCCTTCAGTATATCCCTAGGGAGTGGACTCGGGATCATATGGCAGATCTATGTTTAGTTTTTTGAGAACCCCCATACTGTTTTCCATAGTGCGTTGCCACTAATTTACATTCCCAC